GGGGACTTGCGGACGGAATGCCTTGGAAGGTTCGTCCCAGAACAGTTGAGCCCCAGTGACCATACCAGTTACATGGCTGGAGAATCATCCCACGATACGCCAGGGAGCCACTTCAACTGCAACAATGCCAACCCTTGAAGCAACCTGACTTGCTTGTTTCCACTGACAATTCGGCTGGTTAAGATTATGGCAAGACTATGGTTTCCGTTTCCAGCCATTTCCAGCCCACTTTCCCATGGAAATCCATATCCGGCACAGACCAGCACAGCAGGACGGGTGCCGCAATGGTGACAATTGTGACTTTTGCCACTTCTGTTCCCCGCAAGCGGTGAAAGACTGCGCCTCGAAAAGGGCTTGGGGGGAAGCTATCATCTGGAAAACCCCATGGGAAAACCCCTGGAAAACAAAAACCAAAGTGAAACTGATCTCATCAGCCCAGAAGAGTGAAGAGGTAGGTCCGTGGTGGTGATATAAAATGATATAAACATATAGAAAGCTCTTCGACACGGATGATTGGACCTTCCGTTGGCATGGCTCACCCAGTAACCAAGTGTTTGCCTCGGGTTGGTGCTGTTGATGATGGCCCCAATCACTAGTCAGATGGCCATTGAAAATTCTTTCTAAAATGTATTCGAAGGCCCTAACTTCAAACTTAGATTCCAGCTCCTAAGTTCGGAGCTTCAAGTTCTAGGATTCTAGGTAGAGGCCGATAAAGGTATCAAAAATTATCCGCAGAAGACCAGCCATCAGAATGGCCAAAGCCCCAGGTAAGCGCGCCTTTAAGCGCGACGCTCGCCGAGAGAAGCGAGCGCAAGCAGCAGCAGGCTTGCGCAAGGTGCGCTGAAAAGTTGGGAAGGCGGTGATCAAGGGATTGAGTTTGCATGGTTGGGTTAGTGAATGGCAAGTGCAATAGTAATTATCATCCCATCCGAAATGCTGGTTTGATGGTGATTTGATGATGATTATCATGGTGATTTAATGTGATTCAATAGGAATTTCATGGTGATCTAATAGTGGGGGTTGAACCAACAAGAATTAGGGATATTGATGGGAAGGAAAAAGCAGGTGGTACCCTCTAGCAATTAATTTGTTACATAGCTATGGAAGCCATGGCGTATGTAGATATATGCTTTACCTAGTATCTCGTTGGTGATTTCCCAAAGCTATGTTAAATTCCGCAGGGTAGGAATCTATAAATAAATCTTTGGTTTCTGAGAAATATCAAGGTTTTCAAGACCTGGGCGATGGCCGGGTGAAACCCCATGGGTTTAACAACCACCAAAAAGGATTTTCCCATCGGTAATCAAACTTGGCAATTGAAAATCCTACACCAACAGAGGTTTTAATGGGAAGATCATGGAGAAATGCCGGATTTTCCGTTGCAAAAGTCTTTTGGTTGAAAATGGGAAGGTCATGTATGAAAATGAAGATGTCACCAGCAAATTGTGGAAGATCATGGGGTTGGTATTAATCATATTGAAGGGAAAGGCAGCCATGCAAGCCGCGAGCCAGAGGTGTTCTCGTACATGAATGAATTTGGTGATGACTTCACAACGCAACGTGGGAGTTGGACTGGGGTAAGTATTAACTATCCCCAAAGGGCATCGGCCTTACTTCAATTTGGTGACTTAGTCCAATTTATCCAGCCATATCCAGCCCCACTGAAGGAACTTTCACGGAAACGCTACTGTCCTTGAGGTGGCCACCCCAAGTCGCAGATGAAGTGGTGGCTATACACTCAATGATTTTGGCTGTTAAGGCTTGTATCACTTTGTATCATCGTATGTAGCAGTTATGTGCTTCAATATTCTTTTTATTTCTTTTGTATCTTCTAAGTTGTATGTTTTAAGTGGTCACTGTCACGGATGCTCCCACTGTTGGTGAATAGCCCCGTATGATTTGCGGTCACCGTTGCTTGTCGGTGATCCAGCCCAAGAATTGGCGAAATGCCGCAGGAATGGATGAGACTTACAGCAGAGGTGTCCTGTAACATAGATTCGACACACACATATATATATAATATCTGGTTGGTGGTTTCAAACATTTTTCCCCACCTGCCAGGTGAGGGTTGTTAGATTTTATGTCAGTTGCCTCCTCCTCCTCCTCCTCCTTCTCCTGCCTCGTCCTCCTCTCCTCCTCCTCCTCCGCCTCCTCCTGCCTCGTCCTCCTCTCCTCCTCCTCCTCGTCCTCCTCGTCGTCCTCGTCGTCCTCGTCGTCCTCGTCGTCCTCGTCGTCCTTGCTCAACTGCGACCCGCGATCCACAGTGTTCTCTGCCGGACCTCAACCACGACCATCCACGCCCAGTGTTCCCTGCCGGACCTCAACCACGACCATCCTCGCCCAGTGTTCCCTGCCGGACCTCAACCACGACCATCCCCGCCCAGTGTTCCCTGCCGGACCTCAACCATCCACGCCCAGTGTTCCCTGCCGGACCTCAACCGCGAGTATCCACGCCAAGTGTTCCCTGCCGGACCTCATGTAGGAAGATATGGGACAAAGAATGTGCAGAAGAAAGTTGGAAAGAATGTCAGAAAGAATGTCAGAAGATATGCCAGAAGATATGCCAGATAGAATGCCAGAAGATATGTCAGAATATATGCCAGAAGATATGCCAGATAGAATGCCAGATTGAATGCCAGAAGATATGTCAGATAGAGTGCCAGAAGATATGCCAGATAGAATCCCAGAAGATTTGCCAGATAGAATGCCAGAAGATATGCCAGAAGATATGTCAGATAGAATGCCAGAAGATATGCCAGATAGAATGTCAGAAGATTTGCCAGATAGAATGCCAGAAGATATGCCAGAACATATGCCAGATAGAATGTCAGAAGATTTGCCAGAACATATGCCAGATAGAATGTCAGAAGATTTGCCAGATAGAATGCCAGAAGATATGCCAGAACATATGCCAGATAGAATGTCAGAAGATTTGCCAGAACATATGCCAGATAGAATGTCAGAAGATTTGCCAGATAGAATGCCAGAAGATATGCCAGATAGAGTGCCAGATAGAATGTCAGAAGATATGTCAGATAGAATGCCAGAAGATTTGCCAGTAAGAAAGTGTATAAATGTCATGGTGGGGATCACACGAAGTAAAGTAATTTATTTTCCATAATATATGGGATAATCCTTCCCATTGACTAATATTTTTTTTCAAGATGGTTATTGCACCACCAACCAGATATATATATATATATATAGATGTCCTTTTCCTTTTGGTTGATTCATTGGGGGTTCCCCCATTTACCAACCTTTATTGGTAGCCGATAAAAAAAATACGAGTCACCGAGCCTGATTTGATTTTTCCTAAACGGGCAATATAGATAGCTATGTTGGTTTATAAACCCCTTGTCCTGTAGTTTTTTCTCACCCTTTGAGAATCTTTAACCCAACAATTGACCAAATCGATTAGGTCGTTTGCATATGATATGGTTTTATATAACCCCTAACGGGTACGGTATGTAACGCACAACTACAAAATCGATAAGGTATATGATACAACCAATATAATGACCATGCATAGTTATGATGGTTTCGATGGATTGGTTTATGGGAAAGACTACAGGAAACCTCAAAAATCATGGGAAAATCGATGGTTTCCGGTGAAGATTTTTGCCGAACAGTTCAGCCCTAACGCCAGGCTGATGGCGTTGGACCCCCCTATCGTCATCGCGTGCGTGGCCGCCAACAGCAACCAGTCCGTGGATATCAACCCCCTTTTATGGGGGTTTTCATAAATGGGGGTACCCCAATAGATGGTTGTTTTTTTTTTTTAATATGGAACATCTTATGAACATGGATGATTTGGGGGTACCAGTAGTTCAGGGGACCTATGTCCAGTAGTTTGGGAAACCTCCAAATAGAATCAAATCATGGTGAAATCATGACTATGACTATAACCGTGGGATTCGAACATCCGTAAGTTGGGATATGGGGCCCCTACAGGGATGTGGGAAAGCGAATCCCATTCGGAAAATGACCTAATGTTAAGTTATGTTACGGCCACACGCTACCGTTTGCCCGCTTGCCCCTGTCTCAAACTGGTTTCCGTCTCATCCTCATCATCATCATCATCATCATCATCCTGATCCTGATCCTGATCCTGATCCTGATCCTCGTTATTCCCCGAACCCTAAATGATCTAAATGAGAAGTAGATATCTGATCAAGGATTGCAAGAAGTTAATCTTTGAGGACCTGGAACAATGTTTTTGTTGGTCAAGACTCGCCTCCGTAGCGTAAGGTGACATGCTTGATAGAGATGTCATAGTGCCCCCCGAACCCCCTCCCTGCCCTCAATGTTGAGAAGTAGATATATATGTTCAGGGTTTGTAAGAACGCTATCATCGTAACAAGTAACAAGTGTCATGGTGCCCGCGTGCAGATCCCCCTGTGTCCTCGACAGCTGCACATCCTATCACATGTAGAGATAGGAGAACATGTCCATGTATATATACAACTGTTTACACATACGCGCAGCCACCACATTGTGTATATGAAATAATATGGGCAAACGACGGTGTGCGCGCGCGTAATGCTAGTAAAGCAATAGTACACCACCCCTATTTTGATGGTTCTTAAAGTTTATGCCATTTATTTCGTTGTAGTAAAACTGGGGATGGTTTACTTTTGTTTTACACACATTAAATAGAGAAATGGGATATCTGGATGAGGTCAACTTGTGTAAACATCAGCCACAAGATCCCGGAAACATGTTTCTTCCCACGAATTGCCAGGTGTCCAAACCTCTTCAATCTTCCACTTTCAACTGAAATTTACGAATGGAGAATTTTCCATTGCCATGTTTGATTGCTGAAGGGAAATACATGGCAATTGCAAGATCCGCGCCGCGCAGGGTTTCTTCCCAGCCACATTTCACCATTTCACTCCTGGCCTGCGCAGCGTGCATGCTCTTGCCTTAGGACTGCGTCTACAAACTGAAAGCATCGCTCATCGAGTTTCAAGATGTGACTCATCAAGGTTTCGAGATGTTTGCTGTTTCTCAAAAGAACGCCACAATTTACCATTTTTTGGGTGGGATTCACCGTCATAATATGGGTGGTTTATGACATTGCTTTACTAACATTGTCCACATTCACAATGCCGCTTGGAAATTGCAACTCCAAAGATATCACGGTGAATCGGTGAATGTCCAAGTTTCTTGCGGAGAAAAATTGGCAACCCCTATATATCCCGCAATGTTGAACTCCGCCAAATGCGCTCCCAAAGTGAACTGCGAGCCCCACAAAACGATCAGATCCAATTCTGGATCGGGGTTTCTAGTGTTGCACTTAAAATCAGTGGCAAGGAATGAGTTTAAAATTCTGTTGAGGATGCCTGGTCCACCCTCCGTGGCCTTTGAATTGGCTCCCTCGGCTCAAAGTGTCTGATAGCCGGACCGACAGATGCTGTTGACAACTTCAGGCTGGTTGTTTGAGCATTCCTGGTATGCTGAAGCTGCGGTTTTGAGTTGACTCAGGGCGTCATTGACATACCTTGATGGTCACAACTGTAGTGACTGTAGTGCTTGTTCAGATGCTGGCCTGCATGGGGACATGTCTAGATGACCATTCTCCGCTCGCCGAGTTTGCTCGTGCCACGTCACCACGAGCGCACTGTTTGCGAACGGTGCGCAATGGAAGCTCCCCTGCTCCCAGCGAAGGGTGACAACCCCCACAAAACGCCTGTGTTCTAAAGGGCAATTCTGTGGAAAGAGGCCGTTTTCCAGCAAGATTTTGAGAAATCCCATTGAAGGCACCTTCCCAAATTGGATCAATGTGGGTCTAATGTGGGTCATTAATCCCATCCTCCTAAGATTTTGAACATCCCCTAAACGAAACCCAGGGTTTTTCAAAGGGAATTTCCGCATTGGAACCGTCCAATGGGGATGTTTAACCTTAGGGGGATGGGATTGGGTTTACCACATAATCATCCATTAATTGCACCCAAAATTGCCCATCCACTGTCAGATAAGACTGACCATTGCTAGCCGCCGCCGGCCACTGAGAGACAGCGCGATCTGTCGCGCGTGGCCCGAGTAAGTCACTTTTTTTTCTCATGGCCAAGGCTCCAATGGTTGAGAGATGCTGAAAGATTCCAGTGAGGTTGGAGCCCGCAAATTCTTGGGAAATGACAAAACGTGCGATTTTGGTCCTGCAGCTGGGTGATCAACATATTGATCTTGGCTTCAAAATGGACCTCTAAACTATGAATTCGTGAAAGCTTGGGGAGGCCTCCCACTTTTTCCCAGAGGAAAACCATGAATCAAATACCATGACATGATATAGAATGTAGAATTAGAATAGAACGGTTTTTAAACATCTACAGTAATTAAACCTGGCAATGGGAAATCCTCATTTGGGTCGATGATAATTTTGTTAAACCATATTAGACCTCCATATTATAGTTGATGAATCTGTTTCAGTTCAGTGGTTGCAACTTCACTGACGGCCGGATAAACGCAGCCCCGTTCAGCTGGCTGGCTTCAGGTACCCTTTGCTTGGCCGTAACCGCGCATTGCAAAACGGGGCCCCGCGAAGCGCAGCATTTCGGGGATGTCTAGCTGAGTGTGGGGATGGTGCGCTGTTGAAAGCCACCAAAGCCATATCCACAGATGATGAAGGCGTGTGAGTTTGTGATTACTTGGGAATATTTGGGAAAATATCATAAATCATCTGGTTTCTAAGATATGGGATATTTACTGTAGTTACTATATCATAAATCACTGGATATTTTATAATAATGGATGTTGGGATATATAATTCTGCTGGTTTCCTTTTGTCCCATCATCCATCCGAGGGCTACAGAGACCCCAATTTTGATCCACATCCCATTTGCGACATCCGAGCCGACACCATGCATGGTGAATTGAACTTCCGCGGAGGGCGCTCCGGTCCCAGTATAGACTGGTGGGTCCACTTTTCTGAAACCAACTGTCAGCAAGAATGAACACCCTGAACGGCCTGAAATTCATCAAAATGATTCAAAGATATTCATGTTGGCCCACTACCTGTGGAAAATGCAGGGACTTTTTTCGGAGGCCATCGTGCGGTGCGCGTGGGAGCAAGATCATGATTGAAGTGGATATCTGTTGGCTTGGAGACGGAGGAAGATCGTGGATGTTGACACCTTGGTAATCCAGTAGGTAACAGAGGAGATGTCACTAGTGGCATCCAGTGAAATCGCACGAAGGGGTGATTACGGTGAGGTTGTAGCATCTTCTACCATAGCCAAAAGCCGTACAATCTTAGGGACATCTTAGGTGGCATCCGGGAACGGAAGCATTCGCTTTGCTACCACGCAAACAGACAGCTCAAAAACAGACATAGCAGACTCTACCACTGGCGGACGTGGTCGCCGTGTACCGGGATGAAACCTGCAAGTTGAGGGAAGCTTGGACCTATGTTGAAAGCGGTTTGGATATGTTTGGATCCCTGTATCCTACCCTATCCTCAAATATCCTGAAATTCCGTGCTTTGGGGCTGCCATGCAGTGCCGCCAAGCGCCGAAAAATCTTCAGGATCATCCCAGACGTTGTGGTCGGTTGTGCTAAATAAGTCAGACTCGTCAAAATCTTCACGATTGCGCGACAGACGGTGAATCGCCTGGAAGACGGCAGACGTGGATTCACAGCTGAAGATGGATGAGCCCAAATGCTCCATGTGGGAAAGCCGGAAAAAAATCTGTCATTTGGGGATGGTTTGTGCTGAAAAAATGTCAACCCTGGATTAATAACCCCCGTAAAAACGGCTGTTTAATTGGGAGGGTACCATGTAAGTATTAGATGACATGAGTATTGGAGGAGTACCCCCTAATTGTCATAAACCATGGGTTTAGTCTCATCCGGGGTTGACATTACCAGCCATGACATGGTGCATGGGGATTGTTTAATGGTGGGTTTACCACACTAGACGATTGGGAGCATCAATGGCCCAATGGCTATTGATCATCCAATGGCTAGTCGTTTTTGGGTGGATGAACCCCTTGAAATTCCCTATGAAAAGAGGGGCAGTTTTGAACCCAGGCTCATGATAAATGACACGATGATATCCCTGCATAGCATATACCCTTACGGGGGTGGCTGAACCATCAACAACCCATTGATTCTGCATATGTTCAATGATTTTCACAGACAATTTGGTCATATGCTTATATTAATGAATTATAATGTGTTATTGTCAGTACTAAGATGTACATACTAAGTATCCTAATTTTTGGATGGTATCTGCATGTCATCACATGACATCACGTTGGTGTCGGTCTTCCCACCCGTTTTACCGTGGAGTTTTGCGATTCAGGGTCCCCTCGCGAATCAATGTGGTCCCTGGGTGTCATGGTGTGCTGCCAGCGGGGAAAACGCGCCGCAACCGCCGCATTTCTCGCGAAGGCCTGTGTACGGGGTCGCGCTCGAACTGCGACGGCGCATGGAAAAAGGACACAAATGCGCCAGGTTTTCCGATGTTTTCCTGTCAAAGAACTAGGCTTGATCGATCCTGATGGTGCATTTGTGACCCGTTCCCAGAATGAATGGGGAGGGCAGTCCTTTGACATACATCGCGCGGCCGCCTGGCAGCACCGGCCCACCGTGCTAAAGATGGGGTCCAGCACATTGGAGCTGAAGGGATAGGAGGGACCGGTTGAAGTTGGCAAGGCATCGATTCGACGCAACCACCTGAGATGGGCTGAGAACCATGGAATATGATGGAATATGATGGAATATGGTGTCTTATGATAATTATGATAGTTCAATGGCGAGTTTTCTTGGTATGAAAAGTTGACACAAAAACAGCTATAGAATGCTTGTCATCCCATTAGCCAATACTGTATGGGCCATGATCGTCCCTTGGCCCTTCGCGCCAAGCGTGAAGTTTGACAGGATCCCTAAGCAGTGAAATTGACAGTCGAGCCGTTTCGTGGCCCCGCGAACCGCGCGTGTTTGGAAGATGCCACGAGTGGCACCTGCCATGGACATCCCAGGAAATGCGGATCGGAATGGATCGGAATGGATTGGGTGGAATCCGTGTGGTGCAGCTTCGCTTATTTTGAATACGGTTCACATCAAGTTCAGGGAGGAGTTGTGACATTTCCCACTTCCATTTTTTTAATGAAAATGGACTGAATCTTGGCTTGGGCGATTTTTGACGAATGAGGCAAGCTTTCACACCCGCCCATTGTAGGTCAACTTATGTCAACTTGATTTATTGGTGGTGTCACAATCCAAAATTGGCACGGTGTCTTTCCGTGTTTCTTCGGGGTGTCCGTGGCCAATGGGTTTTGACTCAAACTGTGCGTTTCTTTGCACGGCTCAGGGGACGGCCGAGGGCGTCTTGTTGGAATAGATACCTTGTAGATCCTTGTAGTTTAACATAGCTATGCAAATGGATGGGGATGGAAGCGGCATTTTTCTAGATGATTTATATATTGATTTATGATGTATGCCATACAGCTACGTGAAATGACCTCACCGGGTGAATCTTGATCAATCGCGCAATTTTCATCGTGACAAAGACCAATTTTCAAGCTGAAGCTGTGGCCTCAAATCAGTTTTTCTGAAGCTTTTCCGGGGCCTTCTGCTCAGCATACCAGCGAGCGCCTTAAGCTGCTAATTCACCCCTCAGATAGGATTTCGAAGATCAGCCTCCATGATCACGAAAGGTAGCCTAGGCTACTGAGTTCTATGTACTTTAGTACTAGTTTAGTATCCTCCGTGCTACCGGTAATTTTTTTCCTGTGACTCCACTTCGGCGAATAAAAATGCCAAGTCAGGTAAAAATCATCAAAAAATGGATGTCGCAAGGTTGGGGTTCAGGAAAACAAATGTTGGAGCCAGGAAAGCAGGATTAGTAACATAAGGTTGTACCACAGGATTTTATATGTTTCGAAGATTTGCTTGCCAGGATTGCATGGTTTTCCAAACAAGGTTGGGGTACAGGAAAAAATCTCTGGGCCAATCTGTCGAACAGGAGAGGGTAGGATCTACATAAAGGTTGTGATCA